AAAACAGATAAAGACCTTACAAACACCATTTTAAAATACAATTAAAAGAAATATTAATTTTGCCGTTTCATTTAAAATTTTGTGAACACCCAATATAAAATCAAATTAAAATCCAATCTAAAATACCCCTCAGGCCAGCCCCGCTAGCTGGAATAGCCATGTCTTGAGGGCGCGGCGGAAGGAGGGGAGATCCGGGATGTTAGGCTGATTGGTCTGTAGTTTCCTGGATCTGTTCCCCCCCACCTTTTTTTGAAGATGGGAACTATATCGGCTCTTTTCCAGTCCTGTGGTACTTCCCTGAAAGTACTTCGAAAGATATGGTCCAGTGGTTCTGCCAGTTCCTTCAGAACTCAGGGATATAATCTGTCAAGTCCTGGTGATTTGACCTCATATAGAGTGGACAGGTGTTCTCTTACCATTTTCTTGCCTATTTTAATTTTAATTCTTAGTCTGTCTTTTATGGTTCTAGTTTTGGTCCTTTCCCCTTTCCTTTCTTCTTTCTTTTTATTTATAAAATAATTTCCTTAATGCAATACATTGGATTTTTCCTTCCCTTTCTGCCCCCCTTTTAAATTAAGGTTATATAAATTATAATAATTAACATTTTATATGTAGCAATTTCCTTGATTTTCCCTGTGGTGAAAAAAAGCTGCTCAGAGATTGTAAACACATACTAACACAAAGCACATATCCTGTACAATAAAAATTCACCAGTAAGATAATGAGATGTGACCTTTTGCCTGGAGAAGCCATAAGCAGCTCTTGTACTAAGAGTGGAGATCTATTTTTTTATTATTCAGTTGTCAAATAAACTTTGCCCTAAAGGAAGTTGATAAAAGCATCCTTAAACTGCTTTCAGTCTGGCCTCTGTTCATAATAGATGAACAATTTCATGCTTAGTTTCTGAAGCATATAAGCAGCCGTCTTCCTTCATGACCATTTTCAATTGTTCTGGTTATTTAAAAAAAGCAACACCATGGCTCTATTTGAGACATAATTTAAATGCATAACATACCTATTTATTTCCTAGAACATCAAATAAAACACTCTGCATCTTTGGCATAAAGATGTTGCCGTGATAGTCCTTGTGCCTGGCTTAACAATTTGACCTTGACTATCAACAGAATATGACAAGAATATAAAGTAGATTTCTCTAGAGCAAACACTTTTAAGAGCCTGCCTAGAATACCATATTTTAGCTATTATCTTTATAATAAAAGGGGCAGGTGGGAATCTTCTGGCAAATAAAATTGGGATATATTTCTTTTTCTTCATTGATTTGAAGTGACAAAAGTGTATTCACAGGTCATCAGAATCCCAAGCCAGAAATTGAGAAATAATTATTGAGTCATTAAATATCATTTCACTAAATAAAAGTTAAGACTACTGTTGATGCTATTGTTACTGCTGCTATACTGCTGCTATATTTATTTGTATAGCAAGATCTTTTACTCCCAATGTACAGATACATTGTAAGTTATGAGACAGATCACATTATATTGGCTACTGTCAATGTAGATTTGTTTACTATAGAGATAGAACTCAAACTCTATCTACAATCAAAAGTGTTGGGATTAAGTTTAATAATCTTAGCTACATATTCTGTCCCATATCTACTAAGGTAACACTGTTATAAGTAACATCACCCACTCTGTGGCCTCATTCATACATTCGCCTTCCATTACTGTTCTCTTTGGCCAACAATATTCTTCTGTTGTTTAGTTAAGAAAAGTATGAGCAATTTATTCTCAGACTTCTTTGTGCTTTCCTATTAGGCCCCAGAAATCACAGTGTTGAGGGGCACTAGGAAACTGTCAAGAAACAGAAGTGTAATTTCCTGCTATTTTTCAGATGAAAAAATAAAAAGGGTTTATAAGTTGTGCCAAAAGAAAATTTGCAAACATCTGAGTATGACAATCGATGTAGTAAATGATTAAAAAGTTGAAGAGATCTACGTATAGTCCCTTCTCAGTTGTGAGTGTCAAGGTCGAAGATGCTTGCTAACCTCTGTCACTATTCAACTTGCCATAGCAACCGGGGGGAGGGAGAGCCTGGGAAAGAAATGGGAGTTTCAAGAAGCCATCCACAGACCGTGAGACCCAAGGTCACAAAAGCAGGTGTCTGATGGAGAAGTGGATCTTTCCCATAGCAAACCAAAGAGATGTAATTGGGCAATGTGAACATTTGGTGGGTGGGGGTTATGAAAAACTATTGTTAACAAACCAGATTTTTGTGTGGGAAAATTAGAGTTGATTTTGCTTCTTCAGTGTTGGATATATATTCAGTAAAGTGTATGTCTTATGGCACCTCAATGACTTGACCGATCATCAACCTACCTCATAGAGTTCATCCTGCTGGAATAACATTAAAGGAGACTCTCTTTGAAAGTGCAGACAAAAAGAAGAATATATATACAATCCGTAACAAACAAAAATCCAGTAGGCAGAATGAAACCCACAGTTTCCCTCAAATTTGACCAAATCATTTTCATCACTATCTCACAAAATGAACCCAAAATATCTTTCTTAAAAACCTTAATTTTCCCCTCAGATAGACCAGAATGTGCCAAGTAAGCAACTGGCTGAAACCTGATATTACAATTATAATTAATGTAACAATATGTCTATCCTTTAGACTATTGTTTGGATTATATCTATTCTCTTCACATTACATTTCAGAAGAAAATCCAATATACAGGTTCAGTTTTTCCTTAAAACAATTAAATCCTGATGCTGATGCTAGTCTTTACTACCTGCTGCTAATAGGCTGTGATTTCCATATGCCTTTAAGTTCTTATTGCTAGCTCATAACATTATCAGAATCATGTAGGTTCATATATTTTCTAAATTGCTTTGTAGCCATATATTGCACATGAATATGATTTTCTCAGTAGTAGTTTTTATCAGCAGGGATGCTGTGAACTTTTCTATCACCTTTTAAGCTTGCTTCTGATGTGTTTGAAAAATCAAACATCTGTAAACAGCATTTCCAGTTATGTTTTTAAAAAAGCAAATATTACATCTTGCCAATCCAGTGGATGATTCAGACCAAACACATTGAGCTATTTAAATCAGTTTTTTTTCCTTCTTGCTGCAGAAAGATTATCCTTTAAGATTTACATTTGAAAACAGCATCCTTTCTGTAACCTTAAATATTGGATTTAATGTATGGATGAATTATTTACTGACATACAAATAATTAGCCAATCTTGCTTGCTGTACATCTTTTACAGTAACTGAGATAATTGTTTTAGATGGGCCTTTGGCTCCGTGTCACACAATTCTTGATGTAAAAATTAGCCAAACAATAGAATGGATTTGCCCTGCTATTTGAAATGAAAAGAGATGCTTGTCTGGGTTTGTTGCACAGCCTCTTTCAGACTGAAAACTGCATTTGGTCTTTGAATAATATGCTGAAAATCACACTCCAAAAATGGGGCCAAATTAATTATCCTCATTAATGTCTATGGAGATTCTCAGTCATCCAGGTCATGGTTGTCCCATGTTTTGAAAAAGCACCTTTGAGATACCCTTACTAATCTCTTTCAGAATGATAACAAGAGGGGACAATTGAAACTGTTCAGTGCATCACTGTTGAATAAATATGTTGCATCAGACTTCATTCAAAGGAATGCAAGTGTGTTTCTCGCTGTCTGTCTGTCTGTCTGTCTGTCTGTCTGTCTGTCTCTCTCTCTCTCTCTCTCTCGTGTTTGTGTGTTTGTGTGTGTGCTTGTGTGTGTTTATCAGAAAGAGTCAGTACATGATATGAATGCTACCCATGTATAACTTAAAACATATGGTTTATACACCATAAACAATGCTTAAGTCTTTCTGTTTATCAGTTGAAAAAGAATGTCCTCAGCTTTAAGGCTGAGTGTTTATCCAAATGTCAAAAAGTGTTTAAAGAACACCACAATCACATATCCATTTATTTGGAACCAAAACCCATTTACATTTGCAGTTCTAACTTGTTTTAATTCTTTATTTTTAAACGTATGTTTCATCTTCAGACATAATCTTGTATTACAGATTTAGATCCTGCTTGCATTCTCTTTTACCAAATAGATTTACCGTCCCCCGGGAAGGTGTTTTACATATGTTTTACAAGTCCAAATTACTAATACTGATTCAGAGAATTGGAATGTACTTCTAAGTAATGCATGGTATATAGCATTGTGCTAAAGTTCACATATAGGAACCCTCTCAAATTGAAAACACTCATCTAATTTGTTTGGAGGGTGTTGGTATGCTATCTCAGAAAGCGCTTGATGCCAAGTTAATACAGCAGCCTTGTTTCATTTGACTGATCCATTAGAAATTCATGTTGCTCAGGATGATGGGAACGGTAGTATAGCACCCACCTTTAAAAAGCACTTCGTTAGAAGAACACAGGAGTTCAGCAACACAGTATCTTGAAAGGTTGTGTGAAACTATAACAGTATATTTTCTTTGCAGGTGACATTTGCTCTTGTTGGAACTGCTGTTAAAATCTCAGCCAGATCAGCAACTGCAGCATCATGAGCAGGGATACAAACTCTTTATCTGTCAGAAGTAAAAGTGTAAGTAAGTGGATGTGTAAACCTCCCTTTGTCTTTATAGATTCAATCACTGTATTTCTTCTTAACTAGGTTTGTGTGCTTGCATTAATAACATTGTTTAGACAGTTTTGATGAATTCAAGCTATGTCTTTTTATCACAAGATATCCACAAGAATGTTTTTTTTTCTTTTTCTATTTCCCATTTAGCTTTCTGAATCTGTACAGTTGCCTCCTTGTAGCTACATACTATTCAGGATAGCCAGCAATAATTAAAATGAATAGAGTATTGCAGCAATTAAAAGCAAAGGAAACAGAGCTAGTTACAGCAGTTTTTGAGCCTAGAAGTGATCTGAACATTTGTATAATATATTTTTTTCTTTATGAATTTATCCTATTTGATTATTAAAATGTGCCTTTGAAAAAACAAAACTAAAGCAAGGTATCAGAAAATCCCAATCACAGAATTACTTTGCACTAGTTTCTATTCAGTTTCAAGTGTCACTCTAATAATTATGTTTGTTGTGGGAGCATGACCTGTCTATGTAGTGTTAATTAATAGTAACATAAATGACTATTAATGAGAATTATTATTTTGGCAAATGGTGATGTGATCCTCCCTCCTTCCCTCCCTCCCTTCCTTCCTTCCATCCATCTTTCTGTCCTTTTTTCCATTGCGAAGATATTTACTGACTTAGAAGTGGTGTTGCAATTTTAGGATTTCATTCTAATGTCCCTTTTCTGGTTTCATAGGATGTCACAGTCTATGCATTATCCATAAGGAAGAAATGTGTGTTCTGACTGACAAGTAGCCAGGAAGTTTACATACATAAAAACTACACCAAGTCTATTGGTTCTGCTTTAATGTTCTTTTGTTTGCTAATGTTATGTGAAGACAACCATGAAAAACACTTTACAGTTTAGCTTTTTCTCTCCTGCCCTTTAGAAACGACACCACACAGCACAGAAGAGGCAAGTGCTTGAAAGTGTGTGCCTAGCTGATATGACTTTGAGCCCAGAGTGCCACAGTGGTTGATGGGTTGAACAGTGCTGGTTTTGCACAATATGCTGATGCTTATAAATGAAGTGTGTGTATGAAATGGGCTGCTTAAATTATGTTACAAAGCTATAGGAAGTGAGTATGTGTGTTAAAGAGGAGGGGGGGCTGTATTTATGTTACAGCCCAGTTTCTTGGGAAACTGTAGAACAGTTTTGCATTTCCATCATGTGTCACTCATCCAAGAAGGAGACACATAGCATCATCTTCATCCCACCCATTCTTGCCACAAATGAAGTCTCTGATCTCTGTTTTCTGTCTTTTTCTGCTTCAAAAGCAGAGTTTTCCATTTTATGCCAGCTCAAGTCATACTGTCCCATGTGTGTGATGCATTTCAATTCCTTCCATTCCACTTGGCTACTGCATCTGTAGTAGGAACATCCCTTCCCCTCAGACTACTAATTGCTACTTTCTGTTGCCATTTATGGAGAGATAAAATGTTGGGCTTTTCCTCCTCCAGGTTTGTTGATAGAACAGGGCAAAGAAGGACCCGGATTTTTTTCTTTTTCTTTCAAAATGAGGCAAAATTGTTTATTTATTTATTTATTCAATTCATATTCCCCCTCCCCCCCCATTTCTCCAATAAGGTGACTCTGGGCAGCTTACAAATCATAAAAAAGATAAATAGAAAAACAATTACAAAATTAAAACTTTGCAAATTAAAATTTTAAAACTTTGCAAAACAAAAACAGAAACCAGACCCAGAACTTTTTCTTTCTGTTCTAAGAGACTGGCAAAATAATGAAGTGTGGTGTTTTCTTTTTCTTTCTTTTTAATTGATCCAAGAGGGATAAAGAATCAGGGGAATCTACTGAAAGTCATGGTAAATTTAGGTTGGGCAGAACACCAAGCCATGATTGCAGCCAAAGCAAAGAAAGTGGTTGAAATCCAGAAGGAGATTTCTTAATCTGACTTCATCCTAAACTGAGGAAATGGGAAATGAACATTTAAAAGTGTAGAAAATCTCTTGTAGAAGACTGCCATAATTATTCAAAGATCACATTGATTTAATAACAGTTTGAATTGGAAAGTTGCTGTCCAGCAGACGAGAACTACAAGCTACAAGGGTGCTTATTTTCTTTGAATTAAATATTTCACTCTCCAATTAACCTGGGTTAATACCAAATGATGTGAAGTTCATCTCAGCTTTCCATGCAATAATAATTTGTCATTCAGATTTAAATATTTGAAATGCTTTAGAAAGAGGTTTGGGCTTTGTGAAACCTCCAAAAGGTGGAAAAAAAGTACAACTACCATAGGAGAAAGGTATAAAAAAAATAAGAAATGCATGGGATTACTGAATTAGCATAGAACATATCCACCCTTCCACCCCCAGATTAGCCATTTTTATCCTAATATTATTATACTTTGATTCTCCATCTTTCCAGTGAAGTAAAATAGTACAGGAGCATTGGATTTAGCAGTGACCTATTGTGTCTAAAAGGCAGAAGGCCTCCTTTGAAGGTAGTTCTGTTGACAAATTTGCAAATATAAAAGCTATGCTGGCTAGAATTTTCATTTTACTTAAAAATTATCTCCCTTTCTTTTGTACACTCATAGTGATATAAATAGTAGAACAGAAGCATAACTGGCTTTAAGTCTAGTGTGATATTTTCAGTCATCTTAAAATGAAGGGGAGCATGCAATTTTTAAAATATTATTGGTCTTAAATAATTATAAATGGATCAAGAAAAAAAATGTGATCTAGTTATTATAATTTTTAATTTAATTAGACTGGCTCTAAAAGAAGAAAAAAGCAAACCAGCTACAGATATGTTCTTTTTTAAATCAGAGGAGAATTTTAATAATTTTTAGAACAGGGAATGGAGATTTAATTGATTTCCTTTCCTTTATCTACACATGGGTTTTTGTAGTCTGTTGCTGTAGTTCTTGAGAAAGCTGGGCCTTGAGAATTTGTGGCAAGTGTTGTTCAGGGTCCAAATTTCTGTGTGAAATTACAATTTAATCTATGACTCACTCTCAAGGGTTATATTCAAAACAATATACTGCCTAATTTTATCTTCCAACAATATAACTTTGACATCCTTCAATTTTATATCAGAGATAGCTAAATAGCATTATTACATGTCCTGTAAAATCAGCCTAACCTGATTCAAATTCCAATTTTGAAGTGTAGAAGAAATGTCCATCAATAATTGCTTAAATCTGTCGCTGTAAAATAAAAATTTAAATGCCCCTAATTACTTTCACATAATGAAATCTGCCAAAATCCATAATTAGCTTCCAGTTCTAGTTATTAAATTACTAGTAATTGTCAGACGCAAAGAATCAGGACCATACATTAAATTTCAGTTGATTTATTGCTGAGGCCTATACACAATAATCCAGTCAACTAATGGTCAGCACTAAATTGGTGCTAAATAAAAGTTAACGGAATTCAGGGGGGGGGGGCTGGACTTGGATCACTTGTGGGTATGTAACAACTCCCGACTGATTCCTCTCTTGACTCTGCCCCAGATTCTGCCTCTTCTTCTCCTACAGTAATTTTATCAATAATTGGCAATTGAAAATGTCAAAGTAGTTTAATTAAAATTGCTCAAATCCAGATAAATTCACATTTGTTTTCTTTTGGGGGAGGGCATACCTGAGTCTGTTTTTGATTCCTGGCAACTGGCTGGACAAATCCCTGCAGTTTTCTTGGCAACTTTTCAAAAGTGATTTGCTCAGTCTTAGGGATGAGGGAGAGTGACCGGCCCAAGGTCATCCAGCTAGCTTTGTGCCTAAGAACTCAGGGTCTCTCAGTTTCTAGCCTGGTGCCTTAACCAATACACCACGCTGGCTCCCATTTTCCCATTAGCATTATAAAATTTACTGATTCTATAAGATTGTCTACTTTTGGTTTAATCCCTATTGTTTCATTCATTTTAGTTCTTTTCAAATATTATTCTCAGTGCAACTGAAACCATTCTAGGGACACAACTCTCAGGAGGTACCTGTGGATTGCTCTATTACAAGATTTTTATTTTATTTTTTTTTTCAAAGAATTTTTTATTGTTTTCAACATAAAAAAAAAGGCACATCACAAATACATCACAATTGAAACCCCCCCCCCACCCCCCACCCGGACTTCCCAAACCTAATCCCAGGATACTATTCAACTAAAAGTAAACTGATATTAATATCCCTAACTCCACAAAATGTTATTCTACATAAGTAGGTGAAATATATATATATATATAAAAAAATTTTTTTTTTATCTAAAAACCTAACTTATATTCCACCATTCTATGCTTATTTTGAATATAAAAAATCCATCTTCTCCATATTGATAAAAATTGTTCATTTGAATGATCCTTCAAATAAGCCGAAATCTTTGCCATTTCAGCAAGATGCGAAACCTTCAATCTCCAGTCCTCTATTGTAGGTAAAACTTTACTCTTCCAGTTTTGAGCTATCAACAAACGGGCAGCAGTTAAACAATACAACATCAAATT